TGATGTAAAAAGATAGGTGTATCGTTCCTGTGGATGCGCAGTCGTTCATATTCTCGACCAATAAGGATTGGGTCCGAATGCTAGAAAGCAATATGGCCGCAAGTGTGAAATCAATGAGGTTATGTGTATGGTGCCCGCACAGTGACCGCATGTGTGCCGTTTCGAAAATCGAGCTAAAGTTACGAAAGTAGGAGCCACAATATATTTATATATTTATAATTTATTAAAATGTAGTTTGCGTTGTGAAATATAGATTGTAAAAATGTAGTACTATGTAACCCTGCTATAATGTTTTGTTTGATTATAGAAATGCCGGCGTGCTGTATAATAAATTGTATCAGCCGCACAGATAATGCACACAAAATAAAATTATTTCGTTTCCCAAAAGATAAAAGCATCCGTCAACAATGGATCAAAGCGTGTAGACGAAATGAAAAAGAAATAAAAATTAATAGTGGTAAGTATGCACATGCATATACGCACACGTATTACATATTACATGCGTATTACATTTGCATCCTCGATATTTATTGTAGCAAGAATATGCAGTTTACATTTCGCAAATGAATGTTTCGAAATGAAATGGACGATGCCACGTTCAACAAATGTATCAGCAACAGAAATATGTAGATTGAAAAAGAATTCTGTGCCAACTATGCAATTACATGTAGAAAAGTAGAATGAAAGAAAAGTAAGTATATACTATATTTGTTAAAGTAGTGATATTACATATACATATATAAAAATCCTTGTTTTTCAGAACGTTTGTAAAATCGATTATGCCAACTTACACTGAACTTTTGGAATATGCACAGCGAAGCGAGCAGATAAAAAATAGACATAATCTTACAAATGAAATTGATACAGAAGACATAAACGAAACGAACACAACTATATTTTATAGGAATGAAAATATGGATGAAAATACATCTACAGAATTAACGCTCGTAAAAGAAAGAAATGAAAAGGAAGTGTTATTGATGGAGAAAAATGAATTATTACAAGAAAAGCAAACACTTCTTGAAGAAAATGAAAAGTTTAAGCAGCAAGTGGAGCTATTAACGAAGACTGTACAAGAACAATCTGATATTATTACACAAATGACAGAAGATAACAAAAAGGACGCTAAAGTGCCTGTACATGTGTTACAGAAGGTATTTACTGCTGGACAAATAGAACTGTTAATGTCTTCAAAAAATACTCCATTGTTATATACTATTATAACATAGTCTCCATTGTTATATACCATTGTTATATACTATTTAAATTAATTATTGAGTGAGACATTCGAATGTCGTAGTTGCTAATTTGCTTTGGCGTTCACGTGCTGTAAGTCTCTTCCGCTTGTAATTAGTGATAACATAATTAATATTATAATAAATAATAATAATACCAACAATAATAATAATAAATAATAATAATTAATAATAATAACATTATTAATAACATAATAACATAATTGTAACATAATAACGGAACGTCCCATATGTGATCCTACTATTTTGTGTTCAAATTGCGCGCGTGTATTTGGACCCCAATTTCATTGGCTCTGCTCATCGAGCCGCCGCCGCTATGCGCAACGATACATGCACGGAGTATTAAGAAGGAGTAAAATCTCCATAGGCCAATCGCCTGAAAAGTGGACCCAGTTTCGATTACCAATATGGCGTCAGAGACGACCCACACTTTCCGGTTTGTGACGTCAGCATCTGCGCAATGCTCGCCTTGCAGCAGTCGACAATTTTTCGATCAAATAACGATTGTAGAAATAATGATCATAACCTTCACTGATCAAATTTGTCGTATCTGCTACAAAAGATTCATGTTCAGCATTGGACTTCTTTTCTGAATAATTCTTGCCAACATCGGAATAGCATTTTGTCTCAATTTCGGTATTATTCTTTCAGTACGATGTACTGTACCATCACTCAATAAAACATCGTTTGAACGAAAAACATCTTCGATGCTGAAATGTTCCTCACAAACAAAACTATGTTCAGTAAGTGGTCTCTTCAACTGACCTAAATTTGCAGTCCAACGATCCAACAATTTTTTGTCCTAATAATGAAATGAATAATCATAAATGTTGCACATAACTTTATAAAATGTAATGAGTATTTTCTTACGTACTTTAGGTGCTCTAAAAAGACTTTTATTCTTAATTCCATTTTCTTTGTTTTGCTTTTTCATACATTCCAGCCCATTTCGGCAATTAAAAACTATACAAACGCGTTTTCCCATTTTCTACAATTTGCTCACGGAGTTTAGACTTACAATAATGAATTTGCTGCAAGGCGAGCATTGCGCAGACGCTGACGTCACAAAGCGGAAAGTGTGGGTTGTCTCTGACGCCATATTGGCAATCGAAACTGGGACCACTTTTAGGCCGGTATTCATAGTCGGTTCTTATTTTAAGATCGTCTTAAGTAATGTCTTAAGTCGCTAATGCGGCCTTCTGATTGGTTCATGACATCTTAAGACTGTACTTAAGACGGTCTTAAATATAAGATCCGACTATGAATACCGGCCTTAGAAGCGGAGATTTTACTCCTTCTTAATACTCCGTGGATACACCTTTCTTTTTACATCATGATCTGAATCAAGGCAAGTAAAACCACACTCGGATCGCATACACTACACCGTTTCGGCACTAGTGCAAAAGTTACTAGCCGCTGGCACCAAGCAACATCGAGTGAGTGGCGAGTGCATATCAATCGAATTCGCCATAAGATAGTTCATAGTACCCAGAAATGATAATGGAATCGATATCGAATCAATGTCGATTCGTCGTCGATTTGATGCTTTCGACGTCGAATCGACATCGATTCGATATCGATTCCATTATCATTTCTGACTGGGTATATGACATGTCACACACATATTTATATATACGTGAGCATTTTTTTATATTTCTCCGAACTTGAATTTTTCTAAAAGAAATAATAAGAAAATTACTCTCTTAATGATTTTCTACGTTTTCTAATTATTATTATTTTTATTATACGAAACAGTAGTTTTACAAAAGAAGGAAACCGCGGTTTTTAGTGAAGTAATATGGCTGCTTTCCATTTGATGACACAAATCGACACAAGTCGACACAAATGTCGTTCTATCCTTCTTGATATTCAGAGAGTGACAAAGATAGAACGACACTTGTGTCGATTTGTGTCGACTGTGTCTCCTAAAAGGAAAGCAGCCTATTTCTGAACATTTACCAAAACTTATGCTTTACGACTGCTATTAATTTTATATTGTATTTATTGTATAGATATATGGGATTGTATAGATATGTAGATATATAGGACATTTATATTTTTTATAAATAAAAATATTTTTTGTAAAATTACTTATTTTTAGTTTTTTGTAAAATTTAATTTATTTTTAGAGTTTTTTTTGTAACATTTAGCTTATTTTCGGAGTTTTTGAACTTCATTTAATGATTTACTTTTTTAGATTATTTTTAGAGTTTTTTTGTAAAATTTAACTTTTTTTGGTAAAGCATTTAGCTGAATTTTGGAATTCAGAGTTGGCAACACTGTCAACTACTACGCGTAGGCCGTAGGCATCATGGTGTAATAAGCAAGGTGAACCATTCCGATGGATGCGCAGTGGGTTAAAAGTAGTGGGGAGCATCAGCCAATCAAATTGTGACTATTTTGCAGGAATTGAATATGGCCGCTTACAGAGCGCTGAGTGTCTGAAGTTGTCAAAACAAATAAAACATTTATCGATTTTGGCTTTTCATTAAATTATTAAAATTATATTTAGACAATTTTGTATGTAATACAAAATTGCACTATGCAATTAATTGTACTTAAACATTCTTTTTTTTTTTTCAATTAAACATTCTGTACTTATTCAGTACAGAATGTTTAATTTTTGACAAATTAACAACCATTGTACAATCGAAAGTTTCTTTGCCGGTGACAGTAATCGCTTGTTTAGTGAGATGCCGTACATATATACGCCTGCGGCATATTAATTACTTTATAAAGCAAAAGAATTGTACAAGAAAAAACAAGAAAAAATTGAAACGTATGTGCAATAAGCAGTCTACTTAATATATTTGTTTTCATTGTTATATATATTTATTTTGAATAAATGGCATATTTTATTATTAACAATTATATTATAGGCGATTTTTGGCAGATTTTAGGGCTATCTTTGTCTTCTGATCCCTGAAAACGAAAATAGCCTTAGTCGCGGTTACTCCCAGTAAACGAGAATGGATTAAAATGAATTCAAATGGATTCAAATTTTCAGAAATACAGATTCATAGAATGTTACAATGGCCGGTATTCATAGTCGGATCTTATATTTAAGACTATCTTAAGTACAGTCTTAAGATGTCATGAACCAATCAGAAGGCCGCATTAGCGACTTAAGACATTACTTAAGACGATCTTAAAATAAGAACCGACTATGAATACCGACCAATAAATCCTTTTGTTTAAAAAATGGATCCAGTGCTACATCCCTGCTAAGGGATTCCGGGAACTACATGCAATAGACGAGGGCCGCGGAGGAAAACTATTCCGCCGCACTCTCTGCGCAGGCGCTTTTGCCAGAAGCAAGCAAGCAATGGCCGCTCTCGTGTGTGGTCATGTTGTGTCTATCAGACAAAGAATTCTAGTACTAAATCGCGGATACGCACATTCTCAAGGACTCGAGCGTTCTCAAGGATACACACATTCTCAAGGACTCGAGCATTCTCAAGGATACGAGCACTCTCAAGGACTCGAGCATTCTCAAGGATACGAGCACTCTCAAGGACACTCTCAAGGACACGAGCATTTTCTCTAACTCTCTCACTTCCTCACAAAGGCTGTAAGGAACGTGTTTCTCAAGGTGCCGTAACGGGCATTCTCAAAAGGATTGGACACGAGCATGGAACGTGTTTCTCAAGGTGCCGTAACGGGCATTCTCAAAAGGATTCTAGTAATACACTAAACTCTAATACAGGTTAGTTTGTCTCATCAGAACATGGTCTGAAGGGAGGATCTTGAGAGATATTTTCTAATCTTCAGAACACGGTCTGAAGAAAGGCACTGTGGTCTTATTCTCTTATATATGTTGAGTCTCTATGGGTGATCTCACGACCACAGTGTGTTCCAAGAAATGGAACCTCTCCTCTAGAGTTGTAGTCTCACCCTCACAGTCACTCTCGAGACTACAAAACTATTTATAAAAGTGCATTCTCTACTCAATATAAAGGTACATTCTCTACTCAATATAAAGGTGCATTCTCTACTCAATATAAAGGTACATTCTCTATTCAGCATAAAGGTGCACTCTCTACTCAATATACAGGTGCATTCTCTACTCAATATACAGGTTCACTCTCTACTCAATATACAGGTGCATTCTCTACTCAATATACAGGTGCATTCTCTACTCAATATACAGATGCATTCTCTACTCAATATACAGGTGCATTCTCTACTCAATATACAGGTTCACTCTCTACTCAATATACAGGTGCATTCTCTACTCAATATACAGGTGCATTCTCTACTCAATATACAGGCAATCAAGCTGACCTCAACAAAAGTATATCATTCTTGTAATGACTGCTAGAACATAGTGATTTCAATTATAAACAGTATCATCAAATCAAGGAAGAGCTTCATGTCTTTGGTTGTTGCTGTGATATGTGGAACATCAAGTTTACATTGTTATTGGAAATGGAATACAACTCCTTATAATTAAACTTTTTATTTATAATTTTAATAAATATTTACTGATTTTATTTTCAGTATTGATTTT